AATGTTAAAATTCTCACAGTAAATTCAAGCATGCACGTATTTTGATAAATAAATTAAAAAAAAATACATTTACACAACAGTAAAAAAAAGGAAATTTTGAAAATTTAAGAATTATATAAGTTAATATCATTTGAGAATAGTTTTTATAAAATTTTCATTGAAATTCTCATAAATTTCCATTGAATCTATTATAATATACAAAATAATTTAAATTAAGGAACATTTTTATAAAAAAAATTGGAAGATTTGTCTTGGAAGTTTTCTCCAAATTATTATATAATTTGTAGCAAATTATAAAAAACCACATAAATCTATTATAACATACAAAATAATTGAAATTAAAGAAAAATTTTGATTATAGATTGTTGGAAAATAATAAAAGTAATTTTATAAATTTATTAAAGTTATGTCCAAATTATTATATAATTTATAGTAATTTGTAGCCATATTGAAGCAATTTTCATTTTGTTGAAAAAATAAAATGTTTTTTAACTTTGGTTTTTACCATGGGAGAACAAACTTGAAGCCTTCGGGTGGGTTTTATGCAAAAGGACAAAAACTGGCATGGAAAGGAAGCAACAAAAAAGAACTTACAGAGAGTCGACCCACCGCACCGTAATTCATATATAATTCGTTGCGTAACGACGTGCTCGGTGCGGCATTAGCGAGGATTACATGGAAATCAGGTAGGAGAAATGTACGCACAATTTACCCAATTATTTTCGATAATTAAATTTGTATTACGACGCGGTGATTTACTCACGTAAACGTCGGACAATTTTGCGGTTGACGGGCGAAACATTATGTGTGCATTCCGGTTAATTAAGCTGAAAACGAATTATGAAAATCCTGCAAAAAATGCGTGGATGTTTCAAAAGGTCACGAAGGTCTTAGGCTTTAACCTTTTCGTGCTTTAATAAATTTAATTATGTTATTAGAGTTTAATTAGTTTAGATTTATAAACAAAAATAAATGTTGACACAACACCTCCTTTTTTTTAATAATTTATTTTATGACAAGAAATTTTGAATATTGGTTTAAAAAAAATGTTTACACTACACCTCCAATTTTTCAAAAAACGTCTAACTTTCTTATATTTTAACTGAAAGGTAATGTATACTAATATTTATTATGAATATACTAAAATTAACGATATATGAATCACCCTGTAAATATAGGTGTGCATTAAAAACCGACGTAGTATTTATTACACAGCTCCAATGTGAGCTTATTTATTAACATTTCTTCAATTGTTTTTTTTACTGGATAAAGAAAGCCTCGTAGAATGAAATCAACTACAAACAGTGTTTGTTTTCGTTTGCTCGGTTTCTGTTATGCAGACACAACGGTATATCGTGGCTGCAGTGACTCAGCGCGCGCGCGTTTTGTTTCTTCAAAATGAAATTTCCATCTTTGCCAACAAATATTTCCAATGATTTTGAAGACAGAGCGTAATTTAAATGATACTCAATTTATCTTCAGAGATGAATGAATGAGAGCAAACAATGTAATTATTATCTGATAGAAATTGCTTTTGGAAATTTTCTTCACAGATTTAATTAAATGTCATTAATGGAGGAACCTTTACAAATTTGGCTTTTAGGCTGTTAGACGAAAGGAAAATAGTTGCGCCGTGCAGACGCTTTTCAATTAAGTCTGTTTTAGTTCCATTATCTATCTCGTGAAAACTCCATTTTCGCAAAGAGCAAACCAATTAAGCTAATTCACGTGCTTTGCAAATTAATTAATATGTAACCATCGAATTTTCAGTAATTTTAATTACGTTAATATTTTTGTTATAAATTTGTATAAACTTTTATTGTTTGTTAAATGCACATTTCAGTATGATCATACAGCACCTCCACTGTTCATTCATTAATGCCATATATTTGCACAGATGCATTACAGACTCATTTTGTTAACAAAATAAAAGTGTACATTATTTGTTAATAAATAACTCGTTTAGTCCTAATTTATAGTCATTGCATTACAGATACACTTTGTCAATAAATATTAAGTGTGCATTACAAATAAACGTCTTCCTATTAAAGAATTCGAATAGTCCTAATTTTTAATCAATTTATATATTAAATTACAATATAATTAATAATTAGTAAAACAGATAAATCCAATTCACAAAAATATGTATTACAGATTAACTTTGTTATCAAATAATTCGATTAGTCCCAATTTTTAATCAATTTGTAAATAAAATTTAAAGTTTTACAGAAAGACTTATTAATATTAAGTATACGTTAGGAATTAACATTTTGTTATTAAATAACTCGATTTGTCCATAAAATCCATGTGAATATTTATACCTATAGATGAATTTGAGACAAACTTTGTAAATAAATAACAAGTGTACGTTATAAATTAACGTCTTGTTACATATTAAACATTTAATATTTTAATTGGAAGATTAGGAAGAAAGGGCAGTGATTGAGTCGTGAGCTGTAATCCTTTTTTTTGTGTGCGAAATCCATTGAAGTTGAGAGGAGATTATTATCCTTTATTATTAGTTTTCTTTTCTGGGCTTTGATTCGCGTGTGCTGGGTCTGGGCCTCGACCCCGTTCAATACATCGGCCGTTGCTGTGTGTGTGTGCACCCTATCGTGTGCACGGGAATTCCCTTGGAAAATATCGAAGGCGGAGGGAAATTAAGTCCAGATTTCATTATCTTCTATGGACAGAAATGTAGCAAATCCTTAACATCAATTATTTTACAAATAGTCTCATTCTTTTTTTATTACACAATTTACTTATTTCATTTGTTTTTGTTATATTTTATTTCACACAATACATGAAAAATTCAAGTAGAGTTTAACATAATACAAATTTTTGGTTTTATTTACCCGAATTTGATAAAATTTATATTAGAAAATATTAAATTATTGACATTTTATCCATTACTGGATTGAATCATTTAAACATTTCTTGTAATTATTTCAAAATATTATTGAAAATTTTCTTAATTTTACATTGAAAAAAAAACCATAATATTCTTGTAATTTTTACTAAAAATATTTTGAAAAATGTTACAACTTTTGTCCAGTAAAAATGAAAAATCTGACAGGTTTATTAATGTACATAACATGTTTATTAATAGCAAAAATGTTTTGGGAAATAATTCAATTTCATTAAAAAAACCACTGCCTTATAATTTCGTTCCAAATATACCACCTTTTTTATATTTGTACTGTATTTGTGCTCGTGCGAGAGATTTATTATGCATTTTTCAATTTATAGTTGCGCTGTTTGCTGTTTTTAATTCGCAATCCGCAATTTGTACGTTTTCAGTCTGTTTAAAAAAAAATAACAATATTTAATTTTTCCCAAATGCAAATGCATCAGAATACGTATTCTCATTTTGATTAAATTTTATGAGAAACTTTGCACGATACACGCAATTGAATTAACTTCTAGACGTAAATCAACTATACTAACTGATATTTAACTATTTTTCTTATTTCACTATTTAATTTTTAATTAATAATTTTTTTTCAATTCAAAATTTTTCTTTTTTAAATGTTCATACTATTAATTTTTATATTAATTATATTATAACATATTTATGTGAATAAAATCATTCGTTTTCAACATTATTTCGAAAAGCGAGTATTCGTAAAGTGAAACAAGTCTTAATCCTAAATAATATTGAAATATGTTTTTTTATAATCAAAAATAATTATTGCTTAACGTTCCAAAATTTCCGGATTTTTACTCGTATAGAGAAACATATTCAAAAATACACATAATATGAGTACACAAGTTTTAAAAATGATGTAACAGGCGCGCAATCCGAGACTTCTCTTCTCATCGTCACTCGTTATGCGAAACGTCGTTCGTTAAGCGAGTCATTTTTATGCGAGGTGCTCGTTAAGCGAGGTTCTACTGTACTTAAAACTAAATAAGAAATTTTCTTTTTGTTCCAAATTAGAAATTAGAAATGTAAATAGGAAATTTATATGGTATTAATTACATTCAGTGATATTTGTAGTAATGGAAACATTTATAAGGTATTATATTGTGTGACAGAGCGCAAAATTATTTGACATTTTCCAAATAAAAAGGTTGTGTATTTTATTAATTAAATTTAAATTACAATTTATCCTCGTTCTAGTATTATTAAAATTATGTTTAAATTACGAATTTGATTATATTAACAATATATTTAATTGAAAACATCTGAATTAATTAGTATTAAAAAAAAATTAAATTTCAAAATTTAAATTTGATTTTTATAGTTTACATTGATATAAGTTTATTAAGAAAATGATTAAATAATATATTTATACTTCATTGCGGAATAATAATCTGTGTAATTGTTAATCAATATATCGAAATTATACAAGAACAGTGAAACAATTGATTCATATATAAATTATTGAATAGGTAAGATTATTAATTTTGAATGTCGATGAAAATATTTAATGTTAAAAGTACGAAGATTTTTGCTTTTTATCGAAAATTGTTAAAAATTAATACATTTTTATACAAATTTATAGAAAATGTCCCCAAAAACATTAGTTATAATTACCATAATTTCAAATAAATTATTTATTATAGATTATTTAAAAGTACATATTTTTAATGAGAAGTTTGTTTTCTATATTACTAAATATATAGTCACTATACCGACTATATATTTAGTAATATACTATATATACATATATACATATTTCACGAAATATGAAGTAGAAAATCAAATGATGTTTAAAAAAAAAAATAATTGTTTAATTACTTTAAAATGTTATATATAATGATTCTTATATTATGTTGATGGTGTGAATACAATGTTGCTAAATATTGTTGATGAAAGATGATGTTGAAGCGTGTGTAAATAATCGTTTGTTTTGTTGGTGCTGTGCAGGTTTTTGGGAAAAGTTTTCGGAATCGTGTAGCGAACGTCGAGGATATTTCGAGGCGGGTTTTCGGTGCCTGTCCTCTCTGTATATACCTCTGCGCGTATTCACGTACGTATATAGCAGAGGAGACGGATATACCGAGAAGCGGTGGGTGCGAGAGAGTCGAGTAGAACGGTTTGTGAGAGAGTTCGGGTATCGGCGTGGCAACGTGGCGAGGGGAATGTCAGACGTTGTTAAGCTAAACTAGGGGAAACATCGAGGGCAACCCATCAGTGCTGCCACCACCGTCCGAGAACGGCGAGAGAGCGCAACCATACCATCCGAGCACAACCTACTATACTCTCCACACTACACATTACAACTACAGCGAGCCAGAGAAACAGTTGCCAGTTTAACCAGTTTCCAAGTTTTATTATAAGTGAGAGATTCGCCATGGCCTCAGCGAAAGATACAGCGACTTTCTTCTCTCATGGCACGAGTACGCAGTTCGAGCAAGTCCTGAAGCTGTACCCGCAGGCCCTCAGACTCAAGGCGGAGAGGAAGACCAAGAAGCCGGACGAGCTCGTCAAGTTGGACAATTGGTAAGTGAAGCCTCTGAACCTACCCAGGACTCCTCCGCAACATCTTATGTCTTCTAATTTTATTTTTTTCGTTATTCTCTTTTTTTTTTCCATCAATTTTTGTGTCATTGAACTCCTCTCTCTCTATCCTCCGGCACACACATTTACGTGTGCCCACAGTCGCTCACCGAATGCACCACCCTCGCGATATCTTAGCGGACGGTCATTAAAATCACGACCGTCACGTGATATCGATGACAAGTGCACGGTACTCTGTTCTTCTTCCTTTCTCGCTCGCTCTCAAACATCCACACTCTCGCACTCTGTTCATCAGCGCTCTCCAATGAATTTCCCCATTTGTTTTCCCAAAAGCAGGCGAGCAGCACACGGCGCCATTGCGTTTCGATGCAACTCCAACGACGCGTCGCTCGATTTCCCAGCTACGTTTCCATCCAAGTGAAAACGACCGATCATTCTTCCCATATGCATCCATAAATCTACTAATTTTCCGTTAATCCATCCTTCGGAAGCAGCCAGAAAGGCTCATCCACATAAACGCATTGCAAGCACAAAATGGTGCCTGATCAAACAAAGCGAAGCTTGCACGGCCACATCCCGAAAAGCCCAACCGTTTGCTTCGTTACCTAAACCTTCTCAGAAACCAACAATTACAACAGTTTTCTATTAATTCATCCTACCTCTCAAATAATCTACCTCCATTTGGGTAGGAGGCATAAAACAAAACAACTTTAATACCAAAACATTTAACTCAAACATCAATTATCCCAAATTATTAACTTACTGTATTTTTTCAATTTAATCAAACACATTATATTTGAACAAATTACTAGATTTATAATTCACCAAACTATTAACAAATCTACTAAATAATTAAATTTTATTGATTTTAATTAATTTGTTTAAAAAATAATAATAAATTTTATTATACTTTCATATCTTTGTAACAAACTATAAATGTTGTACTTTATGTTTAAGTTTATATAATACAAACAAGTTAATTTTTGAACAAATGAAAACAATTTTATCGCAATTCACAGTTTAAAACCCAAATATTGATTTGTTTACATCTTTTTCATCAGCGAATTAAAAAATTGTTTATTTACATATTTTGTTAGTTTTTTTTTGTAAATAAAACTAAAGTTGAAACCATTAAACGGCAATAAAGAAAGCGTATATATTAAAAAATCTATTGCTAATGAAAGAAACAGAGGATAACTTGGCAGCAAACGGAGTTTTCTATGAATCATTCAGAAATGTTAATTAAACGACTACATACAATCATTTTTTTGTTAATTAATTCCAATTAAAACAAATTTCTTATTTGTATTAACATTTTTTTAAACAATGACCTGCAAATGTAAACAATGGAAGTTCGAACTATAAAATCATAATATTTTTATTTTGTTGTATAAACATTCTTATTTTCATATGTTCTGTATTAATTATTAAAATTACAAATTGTTGTTAACCCAAACAACATTAATAGTACGTCAGTTGTATTATATGCAGTGTTTCAAATATACAACATGAGGTACAAACACTGATAAAGTTATCAATACTAAACAAACTCTTTAAAAAAGTAGGGATGCAATCAATGAAACCAATGTGAATATACAAAGCAAAATTTAACATTTTAGTAAAAGCTAAAGAGTATTAAAATTAAACATTTTAGCTATTAAATAATAAAAATTCTGCATTGACGCTAGCATTTCCATTGGAATTAAACTGAAAAACATTGACATTTTTGCAATTTAGAGCGGTAAATCGATGGATTCAAATGCTGAAAATAAAATTACGTTTGTTTGCTCGACGCTGATTGCAAACCATTAACATTTTCATTACTAATTAATGATATTTTTTATTCGAAAATACAAGTTTATCCAATTATTAACATTTCCATAAATCCATATACTATTTTAAAATAATAATTTTGTAACATTTTTGAAATATTTGTTTTTTTTTTTCATTTTAAAACTTGTTACTCATTCTGTTAAAGCGCGTTTCTATTTGTTGTTACAAATCCAAGAATTGTCCATGACGGGCGTTGCTTAACTGTTAACCATCGAAGGACACCATGCGGTGTTCCCATTTACGAGTTTATTTATTGAATATTTAAATCAACATTATTACGTTTATAATAGCGGCGCTTTTGATGATGAAAATATTGATGTGTTTTTGAAATTTTTCCTTTGTTGTAGGAAATATTTTTATGTTGTTATGTTTGAATGTTTAGGTATCAGGATGAGTTGCCGAAGAAGATCAAGAGCAGGGGAAAGGATGCGCATCTGGTGCACGAAGAGCTTTGCCAAACGATGAAGTGGAAACAGACCAGGGGTAAATTCTATCCGCAGCTATCCTATTTGGTGAAGGTGAACACGCCGCGCGCCGTCATGCAAGAGACCAAAAAGGCTTTCCGCAAGCTACCAAACTTGGAACAGGCCATCACTGCCCTCTCGAACCTCAAAGGAGTCGGAACCACCATGGCTTCAGGTAATTGGAACGATCGAATGCATCCTGCCATCATCATCATCATCGCATGATCGCCTTTTGCACTCGGCGAAGAGAGATTCTCATTGTCCTTTGTTCTCTTTGCAGCTCTGCTGGCTGCCGCATGCCCAGAAAGCGCCCCCTTCATGGCGGACGAATGTCTCATGGCGATCCCGGAAATCGAAGGGATCGACTACACTACCAAGGAATACCTCAAATTCGTGAATCATATCCAATCGGCCGTGGATAGACTGAACAAAACGAAGCAACCGGACGCTACGATCTGCTGGTCTCCCCATAAGGTGGAACTCGCCATTTGGACCCACTTCATCGTATCCGAGCTGAAGCCAGAACTGCTCTCTAGTAAGTTTCCATCCGCCTTATCTCCTCTAACTCATTTTATTTAATAACGACGAACCAAAAGAATTATTTGATGCTTGCGAGAAACTTTTCCAATTAAGTTTTTAAAACAAACCTTCGATATCATTAAAAAAAATCAATTACCAAGACACGAAAAGATGATATCAAATCAATAGAGATTATTTCACAAACTGACATTCACTTAATTCATTCAGTTTAATCATTTATAATTAAAACTCAATAATCCGTGCTTATTTCAAAATTATCCAACAAAAATACTAATTTAAATACATCTAATTTAAATATTCATTATACTTTATAATATTGAAACGTACAAAATAATTGTTCTTTCTTAAATTGAAAACTAATGTTTTCTTAAAAGCAATATTTTTCATAATGCGGGAAGTACCTGTATTATAAAAAAAAATATAATTAACATCTATAAGTAAGAAATGTGTCTGTTGTTATGAAGTTCCCATGTATCTTACCTTACATTGCATATATAAGACACTTTAGCAACAACGTGAGATACTAATTATAATCGCAATTCAAATCTTCTTTATACGTTTATATAACACTTTGAGATTTTGAAGTGACATTAGGCATCATTTCCAAGCAGATTCAGTTTTATGAATGCTTTATATTGTTTAGTTTTACTATTATACGAATGTCTTTACGAAATAGAAAATTGTAACTGTGACACAAAAGAGATTTTGTTTAGTTTATATTGCAAATGTGTTTTTTTTTCAATTTATAGCAGTCGGGATGGAAAACGGAAACTCAATATCGTCAGTCTTGCATCAAAACGGGGACTCGTTGGATGCGACCACCTCGGATGAGAGCAACCAAGGACCGATGAACGGCAAGACGACGACAGTCCTCGATGAGGATACTACCACTTCCTTCACGGAGGACAGCATGGACAAGCCCTCTACGCCGATCATCGCCAACGAGGAAACAAATGACAGCATCGTGTCGGACTCCACGAACGACTCGACGACCGTCGAGTTCAACAAGAGACCCCTCGATGACGACTCCAATTCCGACGACCAACCCTCTAGCAAGAAAATTAAAAATAATATAGGTGATAAGTGACAACTCCAATCTATTCCGTAATTAAGTTTCTTTCTCTTTATAATTATTATTTTTTTAAAAACAAGTAAAAAAAAGCATACAAGTACACATGTAAGAAGAAGAAAAAAGAAGTTGAAGAAAACAGAAACCCACATTTAAAAAAAAAATATACATATATATATAAATGCATATAACGTATAACTTGCATAATATATTTTAACGTAAAACTGCGTGCGGTCATTTTTTAAAATAAATCAATATGCTGTGGTGCTAAATCTTATTTTAAACCTTATTACTGCATAGAGAAACATCACTTGATGAATCTTCATTCGAAGATATTTAAAAAATGGCCAAGACAAAAAAAAGCGATGAGGTGAGAATTCTTGTCCACCCCGAACACCATTCACTTAGATCATAATCAAACACTGTTAATTACATTTCGGACGTGGTGCACAACAGTTCTCATCTTTCCCACAGAAAAAAAAAACGCCATCTATCCCCCACAGAATGATGGTAAAATAACATTATGCATTTTATTATTTACAAAAAAAAGAAACAAGACGTGTTTTTTTCATTTCGGTTGTCTCTTTAATTTATTTTATTTTTTATTTTCGTTCTATTCGGTTTCGCAAAATTAAATCTCCACATATTAGACTATGAAACGTTGATTGACAGACAAAAGGGGGAGGAATGAGAATTAAAAAAAAAATAATAATTTAAATAAAATAATAATAGTATTTTGATAAATAGGTATTTTTATACAATTTATATGTAATATTGCAGAACTGATGAATAGTTTACAAAAAGAAAATAATTAATGACAAGAGAAAAACAAAACAGTGAATATATAATACGATTGTGTAGGATTGTTTCGAGGATCTCCGTTTTACTTAGCGCGCCAAAAAAAAAAGAAAACAAGAATCATTAACACAAACCTTTCCATTTCGTTCTTTAATACTTATTTATCAAATTACATAGTTACCATAGATACATCTCAACAACACTGAATCAAAACAAAAATGCAACACATACACAAAGTAAGAACGACAGACGCGAATCTTCAATAGGAAAGTGAAAAAAATATGAGTTATATAAATATATATATATATTATTATTTTTATAAGCAAACATGTTGATTTTTTTTTTTTGGGAAAAAGATTCCTTTGCTTATCCAAGCTTTGGAGAAAAATCTTAAGAGAAACATGCAACAAAAAAAGAACACTTTAAATTGTAAGTAATTTATTTTATTTTTATGTTAAGTAAGTTTTTTTTGCTCTAATTAATTAATTAATGAATATACCTGTTTTCCTCTCTTTCTCTATCTCTCTATATAAATCTTATGAAACATTATTGTTTTCTTCTCTTTTCTTTTTGTTTAAATTTAGGCATTCACTTGCATTTGTACATTCCATATATAACTTTACTTTTCCTTTTATTTTCTGTTTCTATCTTTTAGCGCATTTTTTTATACGAAACCGATGTAGGGGGATTTATTTACATTTAAGTCTTGTACATACTTTGTCCTTTAATTATTTTTTTTTATCTATATATCTTTTTTTCATATATTTACATTCAGTTTCATTTACTTATTTGTTTGGTTTAGTTCGAATAATAAATAAACAGCAGAAGGAATATCAAAAAGAAAACTTGAGAATTGCTAAAGATGGATTTTGTCTCGTTCCGCGATGTACGTGGAGATTGATGTTCGGGACTTCTCGGACAAATGGAAAGCAAACTTAGTATCACTGATGAAACAAGATTAAACAAAACAAAGAAGTATATATAAATATATATATATGAATGATTAACAGAAACGCTTCATTTTTATGATAATGAAAACAAAATATATTATATATATATATATCTATATAAATATATATGAAAAAAGAATATATAGTAAGAAGAAACAAATAACTGAATGCCTTTATGAAATAATACTGTAGAATGTATACACTTTTACAAAACCTAGTTAGTTTATTTAAACCTAGTGAAGTGTTACTATAATTATGACTTATTATTATTTTTGGACGATCTTGAGTATCTTTTGAATGATTCCCGTTTATGTTATTTTTTTCATTGCAATCGCATCCCATTACAGTTTATATTTTATTATTAAGGAAAAATAATGTACATTATTCGTTTTATTACGGCTTTATCTATTGTTTTCACCGCAGCTTCGATACTTACCATGAAGAGAGATACTCATTATCGACGAATGGAAAAAAATAAATATATATGAAACTATGTACTGTAAAGTATCAGTTGTAGATGAGTTTGAGGTTTTTTGTAGGATATTTTCATAAATATAAATCTTTCACGGCAAAAAAAAACAAATTATAAATGTATATTGTTTCCTTTTTCCATTACAAAAATCATACCTATACGAACAATCCTATTACCACAGTAAATTGCATCAAGAGAATTCAGTTCTTTGAAAGAAATCATCGAAATTAATTATTGACTTCAATTAAGTATAGTTAATTTCCATTTTGTTACATACTTAATTATAATTAAAAAAAAAAACTTTGAAACTACTTTAAAATATTTCAACAGATATAACTTTACTAAATAGTTGTAATTATTTAATTAAACATTAGAACTCAGGAAAGTAATAATATATAGAGACAAAAGATATTTCAAGCTTAAGTTAAATTAGACACGACGCCAATTTGTCGCAACTACAGTTTTATCTATTAAAATAATAGATGGTGCTAATAAAGAATAATATTCGTAATGTTCTTTATTTTAAATTCATATTTAACCCATACATTGAATAAACCTATGTTATTAATATAACAACATATGGTTATTAATTTAAATGTTTTCAACTTTTTACTAAAGTTTACTTATAGGTTTATTGGTGAGAGTTAAGTAAGTTGTGGTGGTAAGACTGTATGATAAACGTGCAAGTATTTGAAAGATGTAAATATAACCAAGAAAGAAAATCATACATGGACCATGGAAGATGAGAGCAACAGGAGGCCCCAATTCGGCAACAGATTCTTAGTGAACGAGGATGCTGTCTTTGAACACAATGCTTGGTATGAGAAAATTGTTATCCTTTAAGTTTCATACACGGTTCTGCCACACAAGATTTAGAAAGAAGCCCATGCATGGGTCTCGATACCTCACAAATAAAGACAAGGTTTTCGACTTTAACGCATGGTACGACCACTTTAACTACTAAGATGATGTTTAAATTTGTGCACTTTACAGGGATGATGTTGAATGGGATGAGAACCAGGAGCAAGAGGCGATAGCAAAAGTTGCAACAAATAGCACAATAAAATTCAATGATGATGAAATTGAGAAGTATGATAAGGAAGCTGATAAGTTCTGGGATTCGTTCTATGGGATTCACACAAATAGGTTCTTTAAAGATAGACATTGGTTGTTCACTGAATTCCCTGAGTTAGGTACAGAAAATAAAGATGAAGAGCAGAGGGTGATCTTTGAGGTGGGCTGTGGTGTGGGTAACACAATTTTCCCCATTTTGCAGTACAGCAAAGAGAATAATTTGTACATCTACTGCTCAGACTTCTCAACAAAAGCCATTGATATTTTAAAGGAAAATCCTGAATATGATGAGGGTAAATGCAAAGCTTTTGTGCTTGATGCTACTTCTGATACTTGGGATGTTCCATTTAAAGAAAACTCAGCTGATGTAGCTGTGCTGATATTCGTTTTATCCGCTATACATCCCGAAAAGTAAGATTTATTTTTATTAAGCAATTTCCAAATAATGTATTTTGCTTTTAGATTTGCTCACGTGGTGAAACAACTTTATAGGTATGTTAAACCTGGAGGATTGGTTTTATTCAGAGATTACGGAAGATACGATTTGGCGCAATTGAGGTTCAAACCTGGTCGGTGTTTGGGTGATAACTTTTACGCAAGAGGCGATGGAACAAGGGTTTTTTTCTTTACTCAAGGTATATATTAGGTAATTGATTGTGAACGTATTATAGAGTGTATGATTTTTAGATGGAGTGAAGAATCTGTTTGAAGAAGCCGGCTTTGAGGAAGTCCAGAATAGAGTTGATAGAAGGTTGCAGGTCAACAGAGGACGGATGCTGAAGATGTACAGAGTGTGGATACAAGCTAAATATAGAAAACCCTTGTAACGGTGTTTTATTAAAAGTTCGACATGCCGGACTGGTAAGGAATAAATAGAGAGCTAGGACATGCGTCTGCTGGAATTAAATCGTCATCGTCGTCGTCATCAAAATTCTTAATATATTCCTCCTGCATTTGTGCAATTGATTTTTTCCTTATCATTTGAATCATCCCCACCGGATCCAATTCATCTGTGGTTGGCTTCTGCTTGTATCCTAACTCGTGCCGAATCTTCGCTGGAGATTCGTACAAGTTCGTATCCTCATCTTGCGGAACTTTCCTCGAAAATGAACTCAAGTTGTAGACGGGTAAGATATACTCTTCCGGAATCTACAAATTGCAATTAATAAACTAATTCCCTTAATAATTCAATAATTCGGTCACTTCTTGAACAGCTTTTTGAAGAAGCGTGTAATCACTTCTTTCCTTCTTCGAAACCTTTAATGAGTTCTTAATTTGTTTACTACTAGCAATTTCTCGCCATAACCGATCGACTCTCGATTTATTGAATATTTTAGTACTGAGTTTCGGATCGACTAATCGCGTTTCAACTCTGTGCGTTTCCATCAGTTTATCCAACATCTTTCTAGCCTTCATGTCCTCATTCAAACTAGACACTGCGTATTTCCAATACTCGTTCACTTTGGATACAATCCCCAGAGTTTTCTTATCCAAGAAACTCAAGATCTTTTTAACCACATTGATCGGCATAACTTGAACCTTTGACAAAAAAAAATAATTGACAAAAAATATTAAGATCAATTCATTTATACGTACGTAATCAATATCTGAAGTATTCTTCTCCTTTTTACCCTTCTTCGATTTAGATTTCTTTGATTTTTTCGACTTTTTACCCACCTTCTCTTTTTTACCTTTTTTGCCTTTCTTCTCTTTTTTACCTTTCTTACCCTTTTTACCTTTCTCCTTAGCAGCACCTTTCCCGACCTTCGCTTCGACTTCCTTCCGATACTTCATCATCAAATCCGCCCACTCCTTCTGCTTCTTCTGCACAATGACGAATGATGGATCATTTGATTGGCAATACTGCGTATACATGAAGCAACCGGTGCCCGATGATAATTTGCTCTCGTTCAAGATCTTTATGTTATCATCAGATTGGTTATCCATCATGATCATCAGTTTCGACGCTTGCTCCCTTATATAAATGCTCATCTTCTCCGTCAAAGGCGAACCTCCAAGTTGTAGCAATGCTAAAACCATCGCCAATTTACAATATAATGGCTTTCACATCTTGCGAACCTCAAACTTATGAACATATTGAATTGAAGATCATCGTCGAAATTCTTGAACCAATCTAAATCTGCTTTAATCGTCTTCTCCAACTCTTTGCTATCCATCGTTCTGTCGTGATCGCATGGTACATTGTCCAGAGGATTATATCTGAAAAACAATGGATTACCACTGTTTCTTTGAAGTTAAATAAACATTAAGCACAAGTTGGTATATCCTCGCAGTTTTTGAAAGCTTCTTTCCGATAGGAACTTATACCATGATTTGATATGAGCCTCTACATTCATGATATCGTACAGCGACTTCATGTATTTGAATTTATTGTGGAACGATGCTCGCAGGAACCAATTTTGGATGGCCGTGTACCGAATTTTGAAAGCCTCCGAAAATTTTCCTTCGAACAAACCTTCATTCAGGACACCTATGAACCAAATACTGATAATTTATTCTAATTTTCCTTTGACGCTCATCACTGATTGGCTGCAAATTCTGTCTGCTCTTCAGCAAATACTCCACAAAATGTACACTCATCTTGTAAACAATATAAAATCCTTCTTTAAATGATCTTTTTACCTCGTAAATCTTAAAAGAAATATCAAATGATATTTAATAAAACTGACATGTTTTTTTTATTGAAACAAAATAATTCCGATATATGAAAAATCAATAATATTATTATTAAATTAATTTGGAATCATCTATAAAATGTGTATTGCAAATATTAATTACAAACGATACTGGAATTCAAGAAGTGTAACTTGCGCCCTTAATCTAGTTGCGCCCGCGGCAGGCGCCTCTTTCGCCACGCCTTAGTTACGGCGCTGATTATATGTTATTACTATAATAATATCCCATGATACATTTTTCATGACAAAGTCCATAATTAAGTATGCATTTCATAAAATTCAATACGTTATTAATAGATAAATAAAGTGCATTAAGAAGGTCGTCTGCTGTAAACAAAAGGCGAATGACTTCAGAAATTACTTGATACTAACAGTGCGAATCACGCATTCTGCCACGTTTAATGAGTTTAGCTGTGAAAGTTTCACATGGGCGTCCTCAGAAGGGGGTTAAAAACAAGTATTGAGTGCAATATTTACAAGAAAATATGATTTTTGTTAATTATTAGCACTATTAAATACTTTATTCGGTCAATTCAATGTTTGTGTTCCCTAATACTTATAACCAAAATAATTGGATATTCAATTATGGTTTGTTTAATTTCAAATTAGTTTATTGGAAATCGTAAGGAATATATTTGTTTTTAATTAAATTAAAACGTAGACAAGACACATCGATTTTTATTAAGTGTTATGGAGATGTGTAAGATTTATACCAATTTATAAATAAAAAAAATGCAGTTCAAAATATTGTAGGAAAGAATTGTTGAATATATAGCAATCAAATATATTCGTCATATGTTAAATCTTTTCTATAAATAGTGATGATATGGTATTCCTACGAAACATGTGGTTGCATTGATTCAGAATTATTACATTATCTGTAATGGGATTTAGTCTGTCGTTTACATTGGATTGTTTACCATTATTTGACCTCGTGCTCGAATAAACAAGAAGATATCCCCAAGAGAGGCCCAATATTGTGGGTGGACCAGAGTCTACGCTACTGCGCTACATCTTGGTATGCATAAATAATACCAGTCAAACAACACCGGGACAGAAACATTGCATTCGACGCCATGCAAAGTATCTGCGAGATTCTCAAACCAGAAACGGCCGGTTGGCTGTATTTTAAGGTAAGTTCATTTAATCCCAAACCAATTAATACTCTTAATCAATCGAATCTCTTAATTAGGTAACCTTTGTGGATTTAGAGGATAAATTGGAAAACAACAAAGATCTGATTTGCAAGTATAAAAGTCCCAATGATTACAAAACGACGTGCGGTGACCGAATTGTTCTTTATGAATCCGATTCGAGGTCCGTCATGGATTATATCTTATTCGAATGGGCTCCAATTGGCGATACACAAACAGTGATTTTTAAAAGTAAGTTTTTAACTTTCAACTCCAAATATTAACAATTACAATTGGTATTTGCTTTTTTTTTAGAGGAGTGTCTTCCTAAGAACAAGCAAGGTTATTTTCATTTTTGTTACCTATCGCGTGAAAATGAAATTTTAGGAGTAAGCAATTCGTTTCGATTTGTTGATGCTGAACATCATAGATTCGGCGTTTGTAGCAATCATAATGATTTAAGGACGGGACATAATCGAGGAGGATTATGTCTGCCAGAAAGTATGGCCGGATTCCGTCGTTCTATACAGAATCGTTCGAGCAGTTGAAACATATGTTGAAGGATATGTGACTTTAACTGCATATAGCTCACATAGTCCTTTTTGTAAAGATAAACAATGTCGCTAACCTAACCGACTGAGCTTAAGTGAGAAATATACTGACAATGTTTGAAAATTGATGAAAAGTGATAATTTCCATTTTGGAAGATTTGACTACCAAATCTCTTGTTTATAATTATATGTAAATACTTATTTTTTGTACAATAAAATAATGTGGAAGAAATTCATTGTTTTCTTTTGTGTGCTCTTAAATTGTAAAGCGTTTTGTTAACCAAATCACTGTTTAAATATACAAAAATTTAATTTTAAAGAATACATTAATATTTGTTAATCTTAAACTTCCTTAAAACATTGTTTAAAAGTTGTACTTCTCTACACAACATTATAATTCATTCAGGTAGACTAAATTGTCTTTATTATGTTTAGTTTTGGTATTTGATTTGTGGCTGTTTGCGACTACAATATTTTGTATAGAAATTCATAATATTTGATTTATTGATCATAAATCTTAATATTATTTTATAGCTGTGTACATATTGTGTAAATATGGAAAGGCGTGAAAATTTTAGACGTTAAAGGTAAATGTACAGGTCATTTCTAAAAATGATTCTAAGAATTTAAAGAGCAATAAAGATGGGTTTCCAAAAGTCGTGCAAAACTGGTCACATACATTTAGTAAAAATAAATTTCTGTATTTTATATAAAACTTTCAACTTAGATCTATTCTAAAATTATAATAGACTACAGGTAATAGATTAGTGAATCTTAGCAAAAATTATGTAATGACTAGTTTTAATACATCATAATCAGAATGTATTTGTTGAGCAAGTCTGTAGACAATTATTTATGTACGATCACTGATAACATTCTATAAATAGGGACTTCCCCTTTGGGGATTAAGTGAACTTTGGTATTATGCAATCTCGAGTACACTCAATTGTAAACTACATTTCAAATAATATTAATTTTAAATGTTAAAATTAAGGTAATAGTCACTTCTAATAATTCTGTATAGTGAAAATATGAATCATAACTATTTTTAATAGGTGATCTATCAAAATGGTTACAATATTGCGGTTGGTACAGTAGTTGGTACATCTTAGAATTGTAGCACTAAATTTGAAAATGCTTATCTTATCTGATGTGTTTCTTTGTATACAAACAGTCCTAGGAGACCATGAATCTGGATAAACACGCGTAATTGTTAATTTGTGGAGATAAGCAGTAATTATTACTTGGAGTATACAGTAGGTCTACGTCATTCAAACAAGTGTTCGGTATATGCGTATTTATAGACATATTTACCCTTTCTTCCTTCAGTTCTCATTTCCGTAAATGTGCATGGAAGTAGATTTTTTCGTGCAACTCCATGTTTAACACAAATATCATAAAATGTCGCGAATTCATTGATCGTCTAACGATGGAATTCCGGAATATAGTCGATCCAGACTCCTTGATTTTGAAGGTATGCATTTATTTATATGGTGTCAGATGTATTTATAACCTTGAACTATATTACATTTTTTTAGGTGGAATTTCTGGATGTTGATGACCAAATTAACTATAACTTAGATCTTATTTGCAAATACAGTCTGATAGACTATAGGCCAGTAAAGGGAGATCGCATAGCCCTCTACAAATGTGGTTGGAGTTTCATCGATGATTACTGTCTCTTTGAATGGGCTCCAGTCAATGAACAATATGTGATTTTTAAGAGTAAGTACAACTTTCGTTGTTGTTATCCATTCTAAACATGTATTCATTTCAGATGGAAACTTACCAAGGAATAGTCAAATTTTCTATCAGCTATGCTACTTGTCCTTTGAAAACAAAATTTTAGGTGCAAGCAAGTTGTTTCAATTAGTAAATAAACAAAGTAATAATTTAATTGCATCCAATAATTTTCCACCGCCTACTTCTTTGGTGAATGGAATTAGCGAAGCTACAACTGAGAAACCAGAAGGGAGTGGAAATGAAGCTACTAACAACTATGTATGCAAAAAATGCACACAATGCAATTCAAACAATTATCTGTTGAAACGAATTGAGCAATTGGAATTGGAGAATTATAAGCTTAAGCTGGCAGTGAAACAAACCTTTGTTGAGAAGAATTATGATGAGCAGTTTTTGGAATTGAAGAATTCTGTTAAGTATTTAACTGATGTTGTTACCCAGCAAGGAAATGAGATTGATATGCTGAAGAATGGGCAACAAAAGAAAGAGAATTTTGATAGCTGTGTAGAAGTTAAACCATTGAATGAAACTGTTGACAGTCATAAGATTAATGTAGGTGTTAATCTAGACCTTTGGGAGCTGGAATCAATTCCACCTTTTCCTTATTCCACATAGACTATGGATTTATTGTGATAATAGACATTAACTTTCTTTAATCTGATTTATTGATTAGCTTGTGCTATTCCCACTGCAAATATATGACATGAACATCATATACACCAAGAATTGGAGAAATTGAGTGGCACAGAAAATTATTAATTTAACATGCTTTGTAACATTATTATTTTGTTGAAATTAATATTATTGGAAATAAAAGCTACACAAAATTACTTGAATACATAAAATAAACCTATTCCTATTTCCTTTCAATTAACTATTTAATATTTTTATAATAATTTAGGTAAGTAAATAACAATTTGTAAAAAAAAATTATTTAAAAGACTAATTCTGAATGAGTTTCTTTATGTAGTCTAAAGTGCGTCTTATGGTCCAAATACACGATGTATATGTAAGCTAATAACTATACTACTTAAATAAATATCATCATGTTTAACCCGAATAATATTTTATTTTTGTTTATGTACATTCATACAATTATATTTACTTTGTGTTTATTTATAAAAATCTATTTTTATTTGCTTGCGTGAAACTGCGTAATTTTCAAATTGCTCAAAAGTATTTAAAGCCTCATCTAAATCAGTGTTTCCAAAATAGTCATGTTATTTGCAGTTTATAATTGGCTAGAACCGTTTTAATGCGCATTTTCTTATATTATTTTTTTAGATCAGATTCAATTTTCTTATTCCCTCTTATATTTAAATATTAAAATCTACACAAATTTTCTTTAATTAATTAATAGTAATTTTGTAAATTAATATTTAATCACGCAACTGCTAGTAGTATAATATCCAGATGGATCTTAACTAAGGGAAAATATGGTTTGAAAAGTAGTGGAAAAAAGAAATAAGTATGTGATAATATTGTTACTTCTTATTGTTTTAAGACTGAAATTACAGAAAAAAAATAATGTTTTGAAAGGAAACAGATGTATTAGTCAATTATTAATTAATGAGAATGTACAAATCAAATATATAAAATATGTAGACCATTAATAATTAATAGGTAAGTAAACACTAGTTTTTTTAAATTGGATCATGTGAGTTAAATTAATTTAACTATCCAAATATGAATTCCTGAAAATTGCTATAAAATTGTATACAGTGGAACCTCACTTAACGAGAACCTCGCATAACGAGCATTTCGCTTAAAAATAATTGTATGAAAAATGACTCGCTCAACGAGCGACGTTTCGCATAACTAGTGACGATGAGAAGAGAAGTCCCGGACTGCGCGCCTGTTACATCATTTATAAATCTTGTGTACACATATTATGTGTATTTTGTAATATGGTTGACTATACGAGAAAAAATTGGGAAATTTTGGAATGGATTAAACTCGTTAAGCGAGGTTCCACTGTATTTTGATAAATGATTTAGTAAACACTATTGATATAAAAGTAGTAAATTAATGGGATGCTTATAGCGCATTGGCTATGATCATCTGTATAACAATACGAAAGTGGTGAGTTCGAAACTAAGACCAAATAAAAAAATAAAATGAAGTGAGTACCAAAAGGGGTGGCAGAATTAGGGTCATAATAATAAAAAAAAAACACATATTAAATCTTATATAGTCATTAATCCTTCCTGGCAAATGGTTTAAGACATAAATTGGAGTAAATGTTATATATTTTGATGATTTATTCCTCAAAAAAGATGAGTAAACACTGTTCTCATGGATTTAACTAAATATGAAATGAGATGAGCAGGTTTAATCTAGAGTTGTGCTGTCATAAAGATTCTTCTTCTTGGACAAAAAAAAAGATTATGCTATACATTAAAATTGTTTTTTTTTCCTCTTCCAGCCCTATTTCTACCCCTTTCGGGTTTAACAGCCACCACAAATTTTTGTTGGTTTTTTGGGAATTGAACCAATGACCTTTCGTATCAGATTTTCGTGTTACAGGCGACCATATTAAAATTGTTATAAAAAGTATAATTTTTTGGAGCCAGCGAAAAAGAACACACTCTGTATATATTCGTGCGCTGCGGCTAACTTCACGTAGAGCTAAAGTATTTCTGGTTGCGAAATATGTCTGGTGTTGTCTCAGTCAGAAGTATAGCTGGATATAGCTATATACTGTTCGTCCTGTCTCTCATCATTGGAACCAATTGGATCTGTCAAAATCGCCGGGGACGTTTGCGTGACGTGCAGCCCCCGTTTTCTGTGTTGTATTCTGTCGTGAGTCATTTAGAGTCATACCAACATCGGTCGCGAATGCCATCAGCAGCAGTTGTGGTTGTGTGTGCCGATACCGCCGAATTTCGTTTTACCCAAGTGAACTCGCGTGTTATGTAAGTGGCGATCCTTGTGATCCTCCGGTGCAGCAGTTCCGAGGACGAGGTGTGTGTGTGTGCATGTGCACGGTGCATTGCAGTTGGCATTCGCACCTGATCTGTATGTATGCATTGTGCATGGTTACAATAGGCACCTCAGGATAAACGTCGCTGCCTAACAACCATCGAGGCTCATCGCGAGTCCATGCATCTGCAGTTTGCGCTCTGAAATCCAGTTTTTCCCAAATACACCACCACTTACGACGACGAAGACTCTTTCGTCTATCATCAATTTGAAGACACCACATCAACCAACAGCTATCAAAGTTTGTTGTGATTGCATCATATGAATTATGTGGTACGTATTTATTCGCTCCGGTTCTATTTTTACAACGAAGAGCTCCACTGTCGCCGCCTCTTCCGACGACGACGTGCACCGTGCCTCCTTTCGCATCGCCGCTAATTAATTCAAACGAGACGAGCTTAATTCAATTATGAAAGACAGAAAGAGACGGAATCCGCCTATTGTTGCAAACGCCGCCTTTCTAATAATAACCACCCATTATTCAATTATTCCCAATACATGCAGAATCTCCTGGCTCAACGGCGAAATTCAATTTGCCCAATTTTCACCTGACGAAAACGGCCTTCACGTGTCTATTGTTCCTGCACTTCTTTCTCTTTCTTTCTTTTGACTGTTATATCACCATGCAAATTAATTGGACATTCCTAATAGCTACACCTTTGTTCTTTCGACACGAAAACATGAGTGTTTATATTTACGTATTATTGTTGCCATACCAAAAGCAATTATTCTTAACAATTTAGAATCATCATTATAATAATGCATTAATGCAATCTCTTCAATATATGTACATTAAATAACCTTTATCCTATAAGATACTTATAACTTATATATAACTGTCATCCACATTATAACCTAAAAATCTGACATTTAACTTCTTTCATCCGCCTTTCCTACAAATCAATTATAGTTTTTAAATATCATACTCAAATTACCAGCAACAATAGTTTATATACAAATTGTTGACATTTAAAGAAACAAATAATCTACATCAATGTTGTTTTAAAAACTATAGTTTATAAAGAACTGTCATCTTAATCTTTATAGTATTACTAGTCAAGAAATTAAATTGGAAATACTTGAAAGTTCCAAGTACAGTGGAACCTCGCTTAACGAATTTAATCCGTTCCAATTTCCGGATTTTTACTCGTATAGTGAAACAAATTCAAAAATACACATAATATATGTACACAAGATTTAAAAATGATGTAGTAGGCTCGCAATCCGGGACTTCTCTTCTCATCGTTACTCGTTATGCAAAACGTCACTCGTTAAGCGAGTAATTTTTCTTACAATTCATTTTGTTCGTTAAGCGAGGTTCCACTGTATATCAAAACTTTAAACTTGAGATAAAATTTTGAATTGAAATTTATTTTTTAATCCAATTGTAATAAAATATTAATGAAAAATTACGTACATGTAAAATTTAATCCAAATCTCTCAGAGGTACATAAATATTACTCATGTCGTCGTTCATATGTTTAAATTTTTATATATTATCTGGTATTTGATGTCATCGTCATATTATTAGTAACTTCAACAATATTGACAAGTATAAATGTTAGGTATACAATATATATTGATATCTATATGATAGTTAAAGATAGTATTAAAATAGGTATGACTCAATGAGAACTATATTAGAATTATGTATTAGCCACAATTATATTTTTCAGTATTTTATTAAAATATGTATAAAGATTCAACACAAATATTTACAGTATAATTTTAAAATTGAAGCAAAGAACCAGTAAAATCTATTTCAATATTGAATATACTGTACTTCTTTTATAATATTCATAATTAGTGTAGTCTACCTGGTAACATCGAATTTGCATGGAATATATATAAATTTTAATGATGGAAATTTTTTCCTTCATAGAAATTGATTATGCATTACCACAACAGCACATCTTTCACATTCATTAAATTCATTATCCCATGATTTTCCACCTGTTTTGATTGGCGTTCCAGAAAATAAATAAATATATAAAAGTTTTCTGTAACCTAACAATTATTTGATAATAATTGATAAATTTTATTTACATGCAAATATTTATTTGACAATTCATACGATGATTTTTCAATACACTAATCATGTACGATTATTCTTATGAACGTTTCCAATTGTAATTGTTCTTGTAACAATCGATGTTATGAGTCATCAAGGAATGTTAAATAATCTTAATTTCAATTGTCTTTATTGTTTTTTAAATAAGATAAAATGACTAATTTAATTGGAGAAAATTACGAATCGTAAATTAATCAACATTTCTAATAATTTGATGTTTGTTAATTATTTTAGATTATTAATATTTAGAATAATATGTGTTTTGGTATTTGTATATCTAAAATAAGGATCAAAATTAATAAGAAATGGTATGAAATGAAGGTCTTTGTTAAGAAAACGAATGTGAAATATGCAGATATTTGAAATGAAATGTGATGCAATCAATTCCTGTTCAACCAAAATGGCATGTTTTATTTGCAAATGAGATAGTGGAGCTCGTGATCAGAATGGGATTGAATGGAACACACACACAAACCAACAAGTTAGAAGAGAAAACTTCAAGGTCCGAAAATATGCTTCGTGCGAAATTTATTAACGAAGCACATGCTTCATGCTCGGCCAAATCGCATCAAATATTTGCCCTGAAAAATCCTAGACTATGAAAAAAAAAATTAGTAAATAAGATGAAGAATTCTAACAATAACATAAACGTAAGTTTATTAAAATTATAATATGAAATATGAGTGAAAATATCCGGAAAATTGTCTTTAGCTGAGATGTTGAGGAAGTGGATGTTCTGCCGACACAAGAATTAAGTCCACCAAACGTTCATTTCAAGAGAAAATAACGAGAGACCATAAAACATGCATTAACTCTCTCTGAAAATGTGTTTGGTAAATATCCTTTATTTAATTATTTTTACTCGAGACGTTCTATAACGAAATTACAATGAACAAACAAAATTGCCATTCGCACAAATCGGACAGGTATAATTGAAAATATGTGCATAACATAATTAAATTTCTATTTGTCGGTTTAATAATTACTGTAGAAAGATAGCTTTTCTATTAAATGAACATCTTTGTGTTATGTTATTATTGCTTATGTTCACATTAATTTGTATTGGAAATGTGCATTAAAACACATTTGATTTCTTTAAATTTTGTATCCTTTATTAATATTCTATCCATGTATTAAACTTTTGAATTCTTCTACATTTGTTGCTAGTACCTTTTATTTTATTGGTTGAAATTTTGGTTTCATTTACTATTTTTATAGTTTCCAGGAGAAAGAAGTGCATTTATAGGTAAATTCTAAAAATGTGTTTACTCGTCAAACATTTAAATCTAAGTATAATTTCAGTGTTTTAATTAGTAATTACTTTCTAGAAGTGTTATTAATAGACTTCTCATAAATGCATTTATATTGTAATTTGACTTATTACGAATATTATGGGTTTTATAACGCTATGCTTGATGATGTTTGCAATTTTGTTGATTATAAATTTGCTCAGATGTTGTCGTACTTAGAAAGTGACACTCCAATCAAGTTTTGTGCACAACCTATTATCTATTATAAACGTATCGTATGCTAATTTCTAACTCAAACAGTTGTAAAACCCATACGCATATCACACGACCCTCATACAAAGTGATTGCCGCAAGTAGTTTGAATGATTTACAGTGCATTAAATATGATTTAACAGCGTTAGATAATTGCAAATACGTGGAACAATTATATATTGATAACTTGATAGCATCATTAAACAAAGGTATTTGCTTAGAACCAAAAAAATGTTGATAATAATAAATGTACAGTATAATTGCAATAAAGAAAAAAATCTGCATTGCTTCGTTCATTTAAAGGCTTTGTGAAAAAAAAGAAAAGGTGGACATGCATAAATTCAATTTACAATAGGCCAATGTCCAACAATATAGTTTATTATGATGCGACGAGTTATTATTTTTTTTTATACTTTAGTTGTATTGAAAGATCCATCTGTTTAGGTCCTTGTTGTTAATCCGCGTGCACAAGGACGGTAGGTAAATAAATATTGTCCGGGGTTCAAGGTCCTTCTCGTATGAAAAAACATATTTTCTGACCTGCGTTTCCAAACGAAATCATTCCACTCTGTACAGTCGTTGCACTCCTAAAAGAACTGGACGAGTCAATTTCCACCAATTCAATTTCTTCTTCTACTTCTTTTTTTTTTGCTATGCAAATCGTGTAGATATTGAGAATAGTAAATAAAGAATTCGCTTTGTAATGTTTATGTAATGCATATCTCGTTATTCAATAACATTTCAGTTAATAAATGGAATGAATAATTCAGTTAAATTCTAGGAATTTTATCGTGCGTCTATAGAAATAATCTATTGTTTATTTTCTTTTTTTTTAAACAATATTCGATTATTTGTAATCATTTGCACCCTTTTGAAACGTGCACATTTCAATGGATAACAATGCAATACGGTGATTTTCTTTTGTTGAAATGATACGAGTATATGAATGAATAATTTAAAATAATTCTATGCAAATATTTCAACGGTGAATGAATGAAATTCTTTTCTAAAATAGGTTGTGTATTCTCATAAGTGAATCAAATATTGATTATATTACATTGTTTCATTATAAAATATGTAGAGATTATCAAAATATTCTATTACATTGATAACATTGATATCTTTAACTTGGCAATTCATAGGTTTTCTATCCACTACACATGAATAATGAATGAAAATATGAGTATAAGTAAATATTGCTGTTGTTTCTTTGCTTTGGCAACAAGTTAATTTCAACTTCTGGTATTTTGATATTCGATCTTTATCTTGATTTAATTTTCAAGAAAGACTGAAAATGTTTAAGAAAGTTTTTAAACCCAAAAACCTTCATAAAATCTAATAAGAAAATACCGAACAAATAACTTACATTTTTTGTTTATACAATTATAAAATATGTATTTATATTTTCTTGCGAAACCATTAAGCTTGTTTTAATTTAGACTTGATGACAAATTGTTATCCTAAATGTAATTTAGACTCAATTTTAAAAAAAGTAATAAATAACATTGTATATGTTACGGTAAAAGTACATAATCAGTAAATGTAAGTTCAACTTACATTTTCCGGATAATGTATACACTTACCCAATTTCGTATAGGTAAATAAACACAGTAAACACAGAATTATTTTATTTATTTCTTTATAATTTTACAGATTTAAAACTTTACTAATTGCGTCTTTTAAACTAACCTAACTTTGATATACAACAACTGTATCTCATATTTATTTTCAAATTTTACCGATGTACGTAGGTAGATGTAAACATTTACGGGTAGAAGTAGGAATATGAATGATGCTGCTATTAAATTTATACTTGCATTTACCTACAAGGTCGGTAAACATTTACCGGGAAATGTATACATTTACCGATTAATAAATGAGAATTGTATACAATTATTATTAGCAACCTGTATTCGATAAACAAATTTGATAAGATCAAACACAGTTGATGTGGTAATAAAAATGTCAAATTTTGTGAAAACAATAATTATTTGCGACATTCCTTGATGATTCGTTACATTGAAATTCAGATATGATTTAAAAGGTGGATTATCTCGTATTAGATGGAACAATGTTGAATTATCGATTGCTTAAATACAGTGGAACCTCGCTTAACGAGCATTTCGTATGAAAAATGATTCGCATAACGAGTGACGATGAGAAGAGAAGTCTAGGATTGTGCGCCTGCTACATCATTTTTAAAACTTGTATTTTTGAATATGTTTCACCGGAGATTCTGGAACGGATTAAATTCGTTAAGCGAGGTTCCACTGTACACTTTTTTCAGTACTAAACTACCTGAATTGGATTGAGAATTGTTTTGATTGTAGAAGAAAAATGGGTTTTTTGTTTAAAAAGCAATATGTTTATTGTGCAATAAATGAAAACGATTGAAATGACCATAAAATAGTAATTTGCTATTAATAATAATAATAATTTAATGAGCATGCAACAAATGTGTTCATTAATGCTGTAATTGTTAATAAGTGGAATAATAAAGCGAGTTCTCCTATTGGATTATTGATTTATAAGTGTTATTATTAGACTGGAATATAGGGTTAAATTGTTATACAATTAATGTGTTTTGTGTAAGTTTCAGAACGTCATTATGGACTATTTCAACATATTATATAATAACAGAAAATCAATTCAGCTTGCCCTACAATCTTGAATTGTTGATGGCAATTTAGTGGTATTACGACATCAAGCAAGAACTTCTTAGGATAAAATTATCCATTAAAGCTTAACTTTGGTAATCTTTGATATATAAAGTGACATTAATTAGAGTATAAAATTATTTATTTATTTGTAATGAGTGGTACATTTACGTCTGCCCTCTTTTGTATTATTGATTGATGAGTATTTTTAGACACCGTTTTAAGTACAGGCCTTTCTTGGAATCAATTTAAACTTAGACCTAAATGTAAACAAATTTCCTTAAACATTATCATTTTATAAGAAATATTTCTTAAATTTTTATTACTGTGAAAATGAGAAGATTGTTTATTAAAATAAGTTAAGAATGTTATTCTATAAACTTATCAAAACATATTTATTGTTTACTGTAAATAGAAGAAAAAAAAATCAATAACGTATATTTCTTGTATATTTACAGAAAATCAGCGAATCAGCTAGAAAAATATGGTGCACGAATTGTATTTATTTTTTAATCATCATCACAAATTGGACTCTGCACCTAGTTTACGTCATAAATCATACAAAATAATTGTACTTTTCCAAATCGGTTATCAATTTAATTCCATATTATAATTTTACGTCGAACGAAATCTCTCCTGTATACTTTTCAAACGTGATTGCAAATGACGATGACTTGTTCTGTTCGGATGATTCATCTCAAATTGCTTGTGTGAAGATGGGACAATAGTAGTTTCCTGTTTATATGTTAATGGCAAATGTTAGCAGCAAATTATATAATTCGTTATTCTATACCAGGGGTGGCCAACCTATGGCTCGCGAGCCGCATGCGGCTCTTGCTGCAAAAAGTCTAGCCACCCCTGTTCTATTCAAAGCCTAGAGATATGTTCTTTAATCGTCATAAGGGAATAATCAAAATAACTATTTTTGGAAAACGTTAATAGATTGATATTTTTAAACAAGAACTAGATTATTGTATTTTTTTTTCACGTCTTTACGTTTTATTTAATTGCTCGATAACCACGCATTATAATTAAAACTATGGCCTTTCCAATCAGCTTTCTGCCAGATTTGTGGTATTTCCTGTTTTCCTATAAAAACCTTTCAAATTTTAGCAGTAAAAATTCCAATTATTTATTTTTTTTTTGGCAAAAACTGTTTTAATTTTTATGTTATGATTACAACATAGGCATTTTCTATTAGATTCCCAATTTGTTATTTAATATGACTAATATTTAGCATTTTTTCCAATGCTTAATTCAGGAATACGTCCTATCTCTAACAGATACAAAAATTAATGGTTGGTATAACAAAAATAATGGAAAAGGATAACGTCGTTGGTGGTACAGATAACGTCCTAATCTCACACCGAATACAATACAGAGATATTAACGAAAACGACATTGTTTTAAATAAATGGAATCCAATTGCCATTGTTTCATGATACGAAAAAAAAACCGAAAACGTGTCCTAGAAAAATCTCTTCCTGCTGATGCCATGCGTTTAATTTATTACCATGATCGGAGTATTCCGAATTTGATTGCTTTAAGTAATCTCAACGATAAGCGTGCTTATAATTAGTGCGATTTAAGTATGAAACTTCCGGATATTGTGTGGAATATGATGTACGTACGATTAGATTAGGGAACAGCAAATAATGTATTGGCGTGTTGCGAAACAAAATTTCAAAAAAAAAATAACAATAAAAGTAATCGCATTCATCGTTCTGGCTCGTTAGAGCTGCATTGCGAACACAATCACCGCGAAAGAATGTTACCTGGTGTGAATGCCGAAGGAGATCCTGTTATTCCTGAATTCCATTTGTTTCGTAGTTCGTTTCGTCGACGGGGGATGAAATTGAAAATGTCAAATTGAGTGTCGTCGGGGGTGTCAGGGGGATGAATTTAGTGCGTTTGTAGTTCAAAATTGACGCGAAATTGTGAATCGGTCGCGGGCGGTGGAGGAGTTCCTGTCGCGCCGTCGAAATTCATCTGAAATTGCTCTGCGATGGTCACCCCTTCTCACCACCTGCATATGTTTCTTCTGTTCCTTTTGCCAGGTAGCGTGATAGCGAATCAAGTGGTTGCTGGTGTTGGTGTCATCCGTCAAATTGCCTAGGGGAGTAAAAACAATGTCTGAAGATGGCCTTTCAGATCCCAACGATGAGCCCAGTATGGAATTGTTCATCGAAACTCTCACCGGAACCTCCTTCGAGATGAGAGTCTTTCCTACTGACACTGTTTTGGACATCAAAAATAAAATTCATCGCGATGAAGGTAATCAATTGCTCGTCAACTTTCCTATCGAAGTTACTAATAAATCTTTCGTTTTGTTTAAAGGGATCCCTGTGCATCATCAAAATCTTCTCTTCCAAATGAAGGAGCTCCAGGATTACGCTCGGTTGAGCGACGTCGGCATAGTCAGCGGATCAACGCTGAAGATGGTGCTTTCCATGCGGGGTGGACCCATTTCCACGCGCAGATTGAACACATGCGATCACCACATCATCTGGAAGGACCTGAAGGATCTCATCGAGCACACCAGGTATATATATACCAAGTTCGGTTACATCTCTTGATTCCTGACACCTGTCACCGTGTTACCATCTGTACCTGTCTCCAATGCAATCCATTTTAGAAAACACCCACACTCGACATTCATTGCAAATTTTCATTAGTCACACACTTTATTGGGTAGCTCAATGTTAAATATTTCCATTCAATTATTTAGAAGTTTATTTTACTCAATTCTTATTTCTAATTAATAAGCATACAAGAACGATTTTTGTTAGAAATATTTGGCTTAATGAGTTTTATTCAATGTTTATATCACTAACAAATACAATAGATTAGGGTGATCTTTAAAAAAAAATATATTTTTACTTAGTTTTCAAAAGTAGTATATGAACGAAATCTTAAATAATACTTGTAATGTTATAAATTTTTGATTAGAAATATTGTCTTAGAAGTTAGACTGCTGGACTAATGGATGTTAACAGTTTTCAGCATTTTGATCTATTTATTCTACTGTGGCTATTGGAGACTATTTGGTATCTTATATGGTTAATTATTGATATTATTATTTTTTCTGTGTGTCTGCTGTGTTCATTGTTTTTGAGGTATTCTAATTGTGATATATTTCTAATTGAACTAGGGATGAAGTCGGGGATAAGTCGGGCTCAAAGGTGTCCGTGGTGGTGTTCAAGGAGGGCGAGGTGATAAACGTAATCCGCGTGATCGAAAATGAGGATGGCACCTATTCTCCGTACACCGAGAAAGCCATCTCTCCTCCGTACAGTAGACACAAGGAAAAAGACGATGTTCAGCAGACGTTCTTCAAGAAGATCTCCGAAGATATGGAGATGGCTACCAAGATCCACGTGCTTAAGTCGAAGATGAAGAAGCTACGACAGCAGCGCAATAGTAAGGATGTTGGTGATGCCGTTGGTAAAGCTGAAACGTCGAAAAGCGACGCGAGCCATCACCATCTTCCAAAAGCTGTCGGTGCCGGCGGTGATTTCCTTAGCTACGAAACAAACCCCTCGACTAGCAGAAGTGTTGAAAATTCGCGATCATCGAAGCGCCTAACCTTCGACGAGAAGATCGTTCATGAATCTCTTCTAGATCATCTCGAGAATGGAGAGATAGCTCTGAAGGAGAAGCACCGTAGCCGAATTCGATTGAGCCCCAATGATAAAATTAAGAAGGTCGACAAACTCCGTACGGCCGGTGACGCCAAGCCGTATTTTTGCAAAAATCTGCACGTATTTGAACCGGATAGGAAGGATAAAACCGACGATGAGAAGTTGATCAACTCCTCGATACTCTCCCCACTTTATAACCGAATTCCGCCTGGCGAAAGGCACCGAAGACCTACCCCGTTTGACAATAACTTCGATGACGGAAAGCACACAGAGCCTATTAGCATTTTAAAGGATCAGGACCATGCGAATCCCATTGAAGTGCCCTGCTCGGAAACCTTGTCGCTTTCTGCTCGGAACAGGGTGCATTTAGCGCGACTGGTTTTGCCGGATGCGGAGCATGGGAAGAGTAGCCCGGATAGTATAGAGCTGGAAGAGAACTCCCAGGAAATGTGGGAGATCCAGCCTGATAATATAAAGTCTGGTGGTTCGTACAAGGTGGGTCTTCTGAAAAGGCGAACCAGCGTCGACCACAATTACGAATCAGATTTCGGTTTGGAAACGTCGACGAGCAATTTGGACCGTGACGACTACAACCGTCAGAACGGCGGAGAGTACGAGGTCTTCGGTAGGAACCTTTACCACGTGCCCCAGTACGTTTCCGCCCCTAGTGCAATACCGCCCCAGTACGCTCCAAAGGACGAGAGCATTTGTGATTTCTATTTGGGTAGTCCTGTTCCTGATGCAACGATCAGGAGAAGTCCTCTATACGGTCGCAGGTCGAAGAACAGCGGCAGTAACATTGATTACAATATTTACGCCGAGGAGGCTTCTAGTTTGGAAAGGAGTTTAGAGAGTCTCGGTTTCGATGATGGTAAAAAGTTCCCAAAGTTGCGCGCGAAGAGTGAGAATAATTTTAGTGATCTGGCGTCGAACATAGAACGGTTACAGAACGACTTCAGCGAATTGGATTACGAGGACTTTGATGTGAACTATGGTGACGACATGTTCGGTTACTACAACTCGAGTTGTACGGCGGAACTGGACAAAATATTAAATTCTAATAATCCTAGATATAAGGACAGTTTATGGAGTGATATGGAAAGGATTCGAGGGATCGCGACGTGCAGCCACGAGGACGCTCAACTGGCGAACGAAATTAAGAGGCTGGGCTTCGACTTGAAGATTGACGACGATAAACGGAGTACGACCGCCGTGCAGATTGAGACTTCAAAACTGGAGGCTCTTCCTGCTGTCGTCTCGAAAAAGAGGATGCGCTGCGGGCAGTGCAATAAACGCCTGAACATCACCAACATCTACAACTGCCGTTGCGGCCGGATATTCTGCTCGCAACATAGGTATTCGGAAACGCACGACTGTAAATACGACTACAAGTCCGAAGGGAGGAAACTCTTGGAGCAGCAAAATCCACTCGTAACAGCAACTAAACTTTCCAAATTCTAATCACTCGTTCCCGTTTCCTCTCTACACATAAATATTATTTTTTTTTTCTCTCTTTTGTTTTTCCTCACTTGCGTTCAGTGCTGTTTTTGTAAAATTTAAGTGTGTGTGAGTGTTTATGATAATTATTACTACATACATTTTTTTTAAATAATTTGCCTGGGGTAAAATTGTGTATTTATCTTTATATAATTTTTTTCTTCCATTTATAAATATATACATTATAAACTATATAAACCCGTTGCTCAATATATGGTTTGACGCGTGGAAGGGCCGGGCTCGGCCCGACCACCCCCCATCTCATGACTTTTTATATAAGCAACAAAACTTCCAGAACTTACGCGAGCTCACTACATTTATATTATACTACTGCATGAAGAAGAATAAAAAAATACTAAAATATGAAAACAAAAAATATATGATTATTATACTATGGATATATTATATATATATATTATATTGAAACAAAAATATGTATACTGAATGTTGCTTTGTATAACGACTGTTTTTAAACTATTTTTAATAATACTTTGATATTGTACTAGAATTCAAAGTTAATCGCAGATACAGAGAGTGTTGTGAAAGGAAGAGATAAATAGGGCATTTTGTTTATTGTTCATCAACTGTTACGCTTCTTCCCACCCACAGAAAAAGAAAAGTTAAAAAAAAAATAATAATAACGAGAGCAAACCAGAATATATACACTATTATTAATCGTTCCTAATAATTGTTAATTGATCGGGGAACCGTCCAAGAAAAAAAAAACATGGTGAAAACGCAAAAAAGTGAATAACTTATTTAATCAAAAAATATTTACTTTTGTATATAGATTATTTTATTTTGATTCTATTTGTATATACATTATTATTATCCAATGTTTCATTTTCGTAATTATATTTTTTTCCTGTATATATAGGTATGTAATATGATATGCTTTGTACATTTATATTTTCTTGTCGACGAGAAAATGTTGAAACTCAAGATGAAATTAAAAAAAAACACGTGGCTTCCTGTATTTAAAAAAAAAACGTAACACCGGAAAATCAAAAAAAAAACACTACGTAACTACAGAACAAAATCTAGTTGTTTCATTTGATCACCTTTCTAATCCTTTATTACTGTTTGTATAATAATTTAAACACAAAATGTGGAACGGTCCCTATTTGCAAGGATCTGTTAATAAATGTTTATATTCTAAGATCATCTTCGAAGTAATGTTGTAAATTTAACTGTTGATTAAATTATGTGTAATAATGTTCATTTGTAATACTTGGACTATCAATATCACATTAAAGTATTCAATCTATTAAAAATCTGAAAGATCATAATTAATGTAAATTATTTATTTGTGACATGTAATTTATTATTGTCCAGAAATTAAACAATTTTAAGACTTTCGTAATTGTTTTTAGAAATTTAATATCTTTAAAATTTCAATTGAACATAATATCTTCAAAACTCAATAGGTGTCGTTTCAAAAGAAATTTCAAACGTTGATAACTCTATTAATAAACTAATCATATTTTAATATAAATAGCAGTTATTAGCAGTCTGTATCATCTGTATCCAAACCCCATCCATTATGGTTTAATACTAATGATATACATTTTCTGTCCATCTATTAGTGATACCTGCAAGCTTATAGTTCAGCACTTTTGGCGCTGTTCCAATTACGATTATTTAATTAGAGGGTTAATTAGGATTTGCTATTAAGTAAAATGAGTGTTACTTAATTGTCTATCGATTAATACCTTTTATTTGTACAACGGGTAATTAGTTATTCAATTATGAACGATTGAATATTACTTCATATCACCATCTATTGGAAATTATTGGAACTGGTTTTCTTTTATAATATTTTGCTTCAATTAAAGAAATGTATAATTTCAAGTTATTTTTATAAAAAATGTAAATGAATGAAATATTGTTTATTTATAAATCAATGCGTTCAAAGAAAAGGTAAATATAAATTTGCACTTTATTTACAAAAAAAAACATGCTAAAGACTACAAAATGAAACAGAAACTAAATAATTAATTACAGCATTGTTATAGCTTGTGCTCATTGCGTATTAAATAAACATTAACGTGATTTGAATTATTTAAGTATTTCCCAATTAATCAAATCTTAAGAGAAAAAATAAACAGAGGAATAATACGATACAAAAGGAAAAAATAAACTTGTAATTAATTACTTATATAACTTCTTTTCTTAAATCGTTCAATTATTTATTATCGAGAAAAAAAAACTCGAATCCATGTAGTAATCAAAAGAAAATAATAATCGAATGGTCGAATCGATATAATATAATTATCGAAAATAATAATTTGCAATTATTATACAATGATGTTGCATTAAAAACTAAAAGAGATTATTAATACGAAAACATGGTATTCAAACGGTCTACATATTAATAATGATAAATTAAAACTCCCTACGGTGATACTTATCAGGATCGAAGTAGGATGTAACGACCACCCTGTTACTGAATTTCCTTCCGGTAAGTGTCTGCTGAGCCTTCTGACAATCCAATACTGAATTGAATTCAACGAAGACTTTTCCGCATCCAGGTACTTCGACGCCATCGATCGGTCGCGGAATTTCTATACTTCTAACGACTCCATACTTATTACATTCTTCCTTGATATCCTCCAAGATATCTTCGTATTCCTCTTCATCTCTCAGTTCGTCCGGTGTCACCTGTAAGGAATATTATGTATGAATATTGTTACTTGCGATAAATCTTTTGATCTTACCATATTAAGCAAACAAAGGACTTCTGTTGCTGGTCCTGAAGCTCCGACCAAACTGAGGCCAGGAACTTGGATTTGTACGCTTGGTACAATTGTAGTATTCTTGGCTCCAACGCTGGCCCTTTGTACAATCAACTTCTTGTCGCCCAGTTGCATACCGTTCAATCCTGCAATAGCCTGTAAACAAAACAATCATTAAAAACTGAGTTTAGTTCGACAACATTATAATCTCCAAAAAATGGAGAAAATATTGTGAATATGAATGAAAAGTTAAGGATTATTATACCAATTTTTATTAGTGGGATAATTAGTGAATAGAAACTTACCTGATCTGTCATAGATATATCGATATATTCGGCAAAGGCATAACCTTTGCTAAGTCCAGTGGCGGAATCCTTGACCAAATTAAATGCCTTGAGCTGCCCGAAAGACATGAGGAGTTCTTTGACCTAAGTTGAAAAAGAAAGTTAGTGAAGGCAGTCGATTTGCAAGAAAGCGTTTCAGAAGGCAATTGAATCTTTGAATTTCTCTTGCCGTCCATTCGCAACGCGTTCGAAAAATTCAAACATACAGTTGACGTACTTTTTGAAATTCCCGTTTCTGAACCATTTTTCTGACTTATCTAATGTTATTATAATAGTTAAATATTTTTTTTCGTATAAGACTTCGTGAAAGCTGCTGAATTGAATTTTTAAACTCACGGGCCGCGGTAAAATATCGAAAACTTGCCTGCGTCCACAGGTGATCTGATTTTATTTGGCAGAGAACTTTTCGACTCAATCAATCAATATAGGGACCGAGACCCAAACCCTAGCTATAGGGCAAACAAGCAGAATGAATAAGTACAGGTTGGATATTAGGGCCACAATCATCAACTATCATAATCATATAAGTAGATCAAAACAAATCTGTCTTTTTTTTTGTATTACTTGGACTCAATTCGTTTGAAATTTTGTTTTAAAAAGAAAAAAGTTATTGTTAATGAAAACTGAGTCTATAGTTATTTTTGAACGAGCTGCAAATAAGGCTGAAATAAAAATAAATAAAGAAAAAAAGAAAACACCGAGAGAAAACTGAAAATAAAATTAGTGCTGCAATTTCTGTACTTATGTGTATACGTTCGAGACATTGAATCTGTTTTTGTATTTGTTTGTTTTTTGGTAAATAAAGAAACCCTGAAATGCGTTGCACAAAACAAAAAGTGGTAAAATAAAATTATATCTGTAAAGAAATTTGACCTGAAAATGTGAAAGAACCTGCAAAAAGAGATTTGTCTCGGCTCGCTGAAAGATACCTGCAAACTCACCCCCCACCCAGCCCAGGCCTAACCATCCCCACGAAAAGAATTTTGAAGATTTTTTTTTTCCTTCCAGATTTAATCGAAAATAACGCGATAATTAAATAATATATGTATATTAAAGAGCTGTAAGAGATTCGTTTCGTTCTAAATCCGTTGTAACCTAAAAATTCGCTGTTTCTGGTTCATACGTTATTTTAACTTGTTTTTTTTTTAATATTTTTTTACGCCAATCGTTTTTAGATGCTAAGCTAAGAGAGAAGGGTTTACTTCCGGCTGCAGATTACAAAAATATAAAATGCGGAACAAACGTTATTGCGCCAACAATGCGCAATTCGCTTTTTTGTAATTTGCATTTCCGCCGAGAATTTCGACGAGATGTGACATACCTGATCTTCGTTTAAGTAATTTGGTAAACCCCCTATAAATATCTTATGAGGAGAATCTGGAACAACAGTACTAATAACGCCGGCTGGCACTGCGATCGCGCTTTCTGCCATGCCAGGCATCGGCTGATAATCGTGCGGTCTACGGATCTTCAAACTTTGACCTGGAAGTTGTAAGATAGGTTAGATGATTTTAAGTGATTTATGGGAGGCGGTATTACCTTTAAAGTTGATGCCGTCAAATGCCATGGCTTGTGTCGTTTCATCGATGGACCTAAACTCCAGAAAGGCAAAATTTTTATCCAGATTAATTTGGCACGCGAGAACGGGATTTCCGGCCGCTTGTGCTAAACCACTCAGGTGCATTTGCTGATTGAAAAACTCCATCATCTCTTCTTCTGTCACTCCGAAGGGAATATTTCCTACGTATAGACGACGTGCTTGACGAGTGATTGTCGAACCTACAACTGGTACCGCTGCCTGCGGTGTATCCGCTACGATGTTAGCAGGAATTTGACCTGCGGCCTGCATTGCTTTGTATTGCAAAGGTGTAATGTGCTCGAAACCGGGGGGTGGTACATCCCAGTATAGAGAAGGTTTACGCCTCCTAGAGTGATTGGACTTTCCTCCACCACCGCCTCCTCCGCTGCCGCCGCCACCACCTCCTCCTCCTCCTCCACCGCCGCCGCCTCCACCATGGCCTCTGGACCTGAAAAATAATACATTGATAAATAGCTCAAATAACAATTCACTATATAATGTAAAAATGAGGAATTAAGGTGACTAAATAAAATAAGAAATATTTTGACTTTAAACTTCAATAGATTAAAATTACATTTTATTCCTGCAACAACAAACAAATAAATAGTTCCAAAGTTCTTACTTATTATAATATTATAATCATTGTAACAACAAAAATCTGTTCCTGTTGGAATTTGCCAATTGTTAAATGGATAATTGTTTTCACAAATAATTAAGTACAATATTTGTGTATAAGACATTCAGAATAGATCAACTGTGATCTAATTGGAAATTCAATTTTTAAGATATCAAGAGACATATGAACATATTATAAAAAATAATGTTAATAGTTACCCAGATCTGCTCCTCCTTCTATCTTTCCTGTCTCGGCTTCTGGATCTAGATCTTCTTCTGTGTTCCCTTGATCTGGACCTCCTCCTACGATCTGTGTTTCTGTCATTTGTTTCTAAAAAGTTAAAATAAATTAATAAATATATACTTTTCTTATTAAATTATTTCTTGTTTATGTAAGATATTTCTATTATATTCAAGTTGTTTCTAACAAAATAATTTTGGCAATTTGAAAACAGTAAAGAAGGTAAAGTTGTAATAATTTGTTGCAATTAAATGCAAATCAAAGTGCCTGAGAAAAAATCAACTTGTATCATTATTTATACAATATATAATGACCAGTTTTGTACTAATTACTTGTTAACCTCGAAATATAAAAAAGGCTGAAACTGAACGTTGTCCGTTTTATGCAAACGCTTTTCAGCAATCTACTTGAAAGTGGTTTTCTTTGCAAATTAAAATCACATCGTTTTTTTTTTATTTGGTCGTTTGAAGGTTAAAAAAGGGAGATGCTTGGACCCGGCTAAGTGGATTCTTTGAAGCTTACCTTTGTTGTCCTCTCCCATTTTACTGAAGTCGTCTATTATGGTTTTAACGTAGGATCACTGCGAACAGAACACTTCTTAATTATACTTTTTGGGCTCTTTAAAACCCCAAACAACACCTAAGCACAAGACGCTATGTTTTTATTCTAAAATGGCGATTACTGCATTCTCGTCCTATGTCATATTTTGTTTCCCCTGACAGGAAGAGCTGTTGGTAACTCTGTTTAAGAGCGACATCTAGGATTGACTGAGTCCAATAGGATGCAAATAAAGTTGCCTATACAAAATACTAGAATCCTTAAGGATTCTATATAATACGAAGGTTGTGAGTTTGAATTCAAATCAAATACAAATTTGAAGGATTTAGGGGTCAATAAGTAACATTTTGTAGCAGAAATACAGCTGAAAGCATAGATTTAACTATAATTAAAGTTTGTTGCATAACTATGTACAAAAGTTAGAATAAGGATAACATTATGATAATAAGTTGATAGCTGCATTTAATTTTTAACAGGAATAGTATAAAATGTTCCCGGTTTGGTCATTGTTTATTATTATTTTCCTATGTTATATGTTACATTTAGTCCCTATTGAGCACGCGGCGGTGGGTGATTGGAAGGAAGAAGAAAAGAAGAAGTATAAAATGTAGCTACTTTTCAACAAAAGTTTCAAATTTTCCTTTTAACTTGACAAGTAACTCGTAATGTGTACGCATCTTTATATATTTACAAAAATGCACGTTTTGAGAGATTTTCAAATAGTACGTGATTACAAATTATTTTTTTTTTATAAAATCTGATATGAAGTTAAATATTAATTATATAAGAATAATAAAGACTTTATCATTTTGTATTTCGAAGTACATACAAATTGTAATTTTCAAGTGTGTGAGTGGAGAAAAGATGTTAAAAGCATTTAGTACCGTTAAAATTTAGCAGCAGATTGAATACAGTTTCTTTACATGTGTTTTCTTCATCTGCAAATCAGTCGTTTCACGTTTTGTATTCTCTGTAATATTAAATAAGGCGCTAATGTAACGAAACGCTCGGTGAATCGTTAATTGGCACGTAAGTAAATTTCGTTACGGTTGTAAAAATCCACGCAGTAAAACAGGATAATTCTGAAGAGGCAAAGGATACAAAAAGAAAATAAATACAGTTTTTTTCTTTATAAATCAATTTAATTTATTGTTAATATAACAAATAAATTATAAATAAATAAATACAAAACTATTAATGATGGAGACGGAAATAATAATAATTGTAATTATAGTGAAATGAGGCCTTTTTTAAATTATTTTTTTTATATATATTTTTTTTTTAGGCAAGATGATTTCGGTGTGATTTCGATCTTGGTGATTAAGGGTAGAAGCTTTGCAGAGCGTCGTTGTAGAAGGAATCGTAATTGTCTCTGAGCACGAAGATGTCTTCAGGTTTGCCGTTGAATGTGAATTGTCCAGGCAGTCTGTGGATGGTGGAATCCGTCGGTTTCGATGGTATCGGTTTCTTGGTTGGTGGAGGTGGTGGAGCTACGGTCGGAAGACCTTGCACGTTGGGGCTCCACTGGTAGATGTTGCTGGGTTTTCCGTTGTTCACGAAAGGTACTTCAAGATTGAGGAACGGTTGGGCAGGGTTTGAAGCTGCTTGAGAGACGTATCCTAAACCTTGGACGAACATGTATGGTTGAGGAGGCAACCTGATGTAGTAGATGGGAGAGTTGTACGGACGACGGACCTTCTTCCTCTTCGGAATAGTCCTGCTTAACGCATTCTCTTCGTAATCCATAGCATAATCCTCTCCTTCATCACCATCGTAAGCATTGTAATCCATGGCATCGCTTGGTTGCACATAGCCGAAGTAGGATAACGATTTTTGTTGTCTGTCGGCCTTCTTTGTAGGCGCTGAGAGGACGCACGTCAACATCAGGAAGAAGAATGTAGTCTTCGTGGCGGTATGCATATTTCTGTAAGCACAAACGAAACGCTATATTAGTAAAGTTTGTTACATTTAAACAATCAAACATAATAGAATTGCAAGAAACGAGCGGATCATAAAGTAACGTAATGAAGTTGCAATGATTGCCTTCTTCGCGAACAATTGTTTTAATTGCTGAAACAGATCTCATCGGATTAATCCGTTAACAATCTCATTACAAATCCGCTTTACACCTTCCTCATCTTTATTACCTCGATGATTTATATTGCAAGAAATATCTCGTTCCAACATTGCTTCCTTATGGAATCGCCGTATTGCAATGTTCAATTTCATTTATATAATCCACATTCCAAATTATAAATACAATACCAACAAGAATCTACTATTAATTAATCAAATAATAATATTTGAGATTGGTGAAGTTTGTAGTAATTCTATTGGTATAAAAAATATTGGTGTATATAGTTGTTTTCATAATTGATTTATTACCCAATAAATCAATCAAATTGGTATTGAAAGATTGAAGATTGCTATAGAAAATTTTCAGATTGTGTTAATTGGTGGTAATAATGTTCGTAAACATCTGTAATTCGATACAAAACGAACATATTTGCGAATATAGGAAGAAGCACAGAATGAGTAGAAAAAAAAAACAATTTCTAAATTATTCTAGTGAAATGTAAAAATTATATGATTGAGTTAATGAAAATATGACTAAGCTTGTTGGAGAAGCCTTAGTTTTATCTTTAATCTGCATATTCGATAATCTAATTAACTTACATGTTAATTGAGTAATTAAATGAAATTTGAAAACGTAAAAAGATCGCCATATCTCAGTCATTAATTAATATTATGTAACAAAATTTATAATAAATGCTTTCTTTTCGTACATTTAAGAAATATATAAAAAGTCTCACAAATTTGAGTTAGTCTGTCAAATTTATAAATCAAGCATTTTAGAGAAAAAAATGAAATGTATTAGCTCATTACACAAAAATGATAATTAATATACATCTGAGATTATGCTCATTAGAAAGTTTGTAGTTTTTTGTTCAATTTGCATATGCGATGAACTAATTAGTGTTGGCAGTTATTGAGTAATTAAAATTAAGATGAAGATATAACATTTTGTACTTTGACATCTTATTACAGGAAAACAGCAAAAACTACTAATCTGACTGTAGTATTGCTAAAAAGGTCATAGTTTTGTTTTTATTTGTATAATCGTTGAACTAATTACCTTTTATTATTAGTAAAAATATGAAGATGTGATTTTTTTCTTTGACATTTTTTTAAGTAATTATTACCCAATAAATCAATCAAATTGTTATTGAAAGATTGAAGATTGCTATTGAAAATTTTCGGATTGTGTTAATTGGTGGTAATAATGTTCGTAAACATCTGTAATTCGATACAAAACGAACATATTTACGAATATAGGAAGAAGCACAGAATGAGTAGAAAAAAAAAAGAGTAAAACAAGTAAAAAAAGAAGAGCTTTCTCTTCTGCGAAGAACTTGCTTCGATTCTTGGCGTTGAAGAGAAAACACGATAAACAGTAATTAATCGGACTTCGAGTTGTTGTTGAGCTATACCTAATTCATATTATTTGTAAGTAATTTATATATAATGTTGTGCAATGATAAGGGGAGCAAAGTTCCGTGGAAAATCGTTAATGTTCGGGCATTAAGCATGGAAATATGCAGTTCCCTGCTCCTTCCGAGGACCGTAATAACAATGGATGGAAGGACGAGGAGCGCATGTTAATGTGGAGTCACGGCACTCATCAACCGAATATGGAAGAGCTCTGCTCTTTTGGCGGTTCCTCCTGGCGATGATGACTCGCCACATATTCCCATAACAGTTAAATTGTATTTTGTTAATATACGATTTTCAACACTTAGAGTAATGAACTTGACACGAACGCCATCACCAGCAGAAGAAACAAACAAGAACGGAATTGTTATTATTATACTGAATGGTTTTGAATTGGCTTTCGTCGATTAGGATTGTGTATATTGCATACGGTTACCACATGCGGCAATCTTCCTGTCAAACTGGAAGGTTCTTCGATAACAGAAATATATTTACGTAACGAGTCAAATCTCACTCTTCCAATTACAAAGCGGATCGCCACACTTCCAGCAGAAGTTATTATATTCTCATCATATTAATATTACTAATATTTTTTTTCTCTCTACCTTCGTCCGATATTTCCATCTTCCGTCTCTGGGAATTAATAGTTTATTAATTAAGGCCTCGGGCGAGACGCACCGAAGTTACGGCCCATCATAATTTGATGGGCCGAACGGAAATTATTGGATTACCTTCAACCGCGTTAATTACATTTTGTTCTTGTCCCACCTGGATGTGCGTTAATTAATAATCTATTTCAAGTGGACCAAAAAAAAAAATATTTTCAAGAAAAAAAATAAATCTATTAACATTTTTTTTCTTATTAACTGTGATTTTTAATTTCGTTTTTGATATTGCGTCGCGTAATCGAAAATATTTAAAAAGCAATTATCTCGCATTATTATTTTTTTTGAATTCGTTCACGCATCGACGGTTTTTGGAATCGTCCGAAAATTGAGATGTTATTATATAAAATATGTTTATATATAGTTTTTTTTTGGTAAAATGTATTACACGTATGAAAACGGTGAGATTATATACTTGATGGATTAAAAAGTTGAGAGGTGTGTTTTTTTTTTCATCTTCTTCGGTAAATTACTCGCGAGTTTTCTGTCTGTAACGGTAACGAAACTGCCGATAGAAAGTTATGACAAGGAGGAATATAAATGTGGTGCGTGAAATTCCGTAGTAAAAGTATTATTTCTTTATTTTTTTTTATGCACATTTTACTTGTTTTTCACGTAAAAACCGGACTACTTTTGTAATTCGTCGTGAAATTAATGAATCCATTAGACAATTTCTAAATTATTCTAGTGAAATGTAGAAATTCAATGATTGAGTTAACGAAAATATGACTAAGCCTCAGTTTTATCTTTAATCTGCATCTTCGATAATCTAATTAACTTACGTGTTGATTGAGTAATTAAATGAAATTTGAAGACGTAAAAGATACAGATTTTGTTACATAATATTAATTAATGACTGAGATATGGTCATTAATTAATATTATGTAACAAAATTTATATCAAAAAATATATAATAAATGCTTTCTTTTCGTACATTTAAGAAATATATAAAAAGTTTCACAAATTTGAGTTTATCTGTCAAATTTATAAATCAAGCATTTTAGAGAAAAAAAATGAATGTATTTGCTAATTACACGAAAATGATAATGAATACATAACTGAGATTAAACTCATTAGAAAGGTTGTAGTTTTGTGTTCAATTTGCATATGCGATGATCTAATTAGTGTTGGTAGTTATTGAGTAATTAAAATTAAGATAAAGATATAACATTTTGTACTTTGACATCTTATTACAGGAAAACTGCAAAAACCACTAATCTGACTGTAGGATTGCTGAAAAGGTCATTGTTTTGTCTTTAATTTGTATAATCGTTGAACTAATTACCTTTTATTATTAGTAAAAATATGAAGATCTGATTTTTTTCTTTTAATTTTTTTTAAGTAATTATTACAGATTTATATTTTATTCATATCTAAATAATTACAGAAGTAATTTTCGATTATTTTAGGTAATTGTAAGAGAAATAAAGGTTTTTTTATGAAAATTGTAAAGACTTATTGAAACAGATTTTTATATGAAAAGATGTGAAATGAAAGTTCTTCTTATATTTTATTCATATCTAAATAATTACAGAAGTAATTTTCGATTATTTTAGGTAATTGTAAGAAAAATAAAGGTTTTTTTATGAAAATTGTAAAGACTTATTGAAAGTGAAATGAAACCAATTTTTGTAACACTTTAAATAAAACAGTTCATAAACGGATTTTTGAAGATTTTTACTATATGTTGACATCATTGAGGATATACAAACTGTAATTGAAGTATAATAATAGATGTATGTAAAGAAAACAATGGGTATTGGAAATAATTTTGTAATTTGTATATAAATTATTGTCTGATTAAATAAAGCGATTTGTTTGATTTTAATTGAATGGAGTCATGCGAAGTATTCAATTGATCAATCGAAGGCCGAGAAACATTCAAACACATAACACAATTATGTTTAATTAAATGATTATCGCTTTGCTGTCGTCGCAATTCCAACTCTTGAATACACCGGATGACTCTAATTTATACCGGAATTAATTGAACAAAAATAATTAGTAACAACATACACAAAAAACGCACAAACCAAACACAAAAAATCGAGCGTAAATGTAACAGATTTAATGATGACTTTAATTTGTCAAACACTTTATTCCATCACGTAATTGTGTTTAATAAGTGTATCGGCTCTAACAAGCGCATTTCAATTTGGAATTAAACGGGCGAGGAATGATGAACGGAAATTAGTAATAATGATACCTAACATCGGCAGAAAACGAAATATAAAAAAACAACTTTTTCTAAAAAAAAAACGTATTAGAACAAATAGCTATTAACTATAATGAGAACGTGGATGATTTAGGTGTCAGCTACGAAATTGCTTTGCAAAATAATAAAACAAAAAAAAAAGAATAAATCAAAGTAAATTTTGTTGTGTATTTATTTTAGAGAAATTGAAAGTTTCGAGACGCTTTTTTTTGCAACGTTTAACCTGAATTTCTTCTCTTCTTAATCAAATTAGAAGAATCTTAGGATGAAATAGAAACAAAGAAAAAAATGGTTAATAATATCATTAAAAGCTAATCATGAGATTTTGTTTTTTTATTTTTCATATTTGTTATTTACTTTAAATTAAAGTAGACTTTGAATTGTTTATGAGAATTTGGGTCAACGGTAGTTGAAATATTTCCTGTCCTACGTTTATTTTTGTTTTTAGTACTTTAATTAACGTCAATTTGTTTGCAAATGAATGAGTCAACTTTTTTTTTTAATTTTTTGAACTTTCCTTTGTAATTTGTGAATTTTGCGAACACTCAAATA